GGTTGCGACCAGAGTCACGGAACGGATTAAATTCGTAACCCGAGGTACCACTGTATATGCAGACCAATGAAGAGGCATTCTTAATGCTGCAGAACTATTCAACTTTCTTGAAGAAGCAAAATCTACCAAATTCAATGGGAATTACTTCAGAGACCCAGAGGGCTGAATTAAAAAAAAAAAAAGTAGGTTTTGCAGCTACCAATATATGCACCATTCCCAAAATGTATAAGATAATTTCATGAAGCTGCAGAGAAAACAGCAAGCATGCAACGAGTGTAGGGGCTGAAATCAGCAGGAGAGAACTTAAGCTGTCTGAATTCCCGGCAGCATCTCAAAAAACTCACTGCATATGATGACCAAAAATAAAGAAGGTTCCATGTGGTGGAGTTAAAAGAGAACAGCTTAGATTTATAGTGGCTCACAGGAATGAATTTCTAAAATAGTATTTGGCAGAAGATTGGGAACTTCTGTGCCAATTTTTAATAACAATAAAAAAGAATAATTACATACCTTTGTCGTAAAGGATCTCCCCCTCGCAGCAATTCATCTTTCTCAGAATTGTCAATAGCAATTTTGCAAGCTAGGTTTGCCTTTCGCCAAGCTGTCTGATTGCTGAAATTATTAACATATAGACCTTGGTATCATGTACAAAGTACCTGAGATACTTGAATGCATAAAACTAAAGTGTTCAATTTGTCCTTGGCATAATTAATACTTTTTTCATTAGCATATGTGTTATATCAGCATCTTATTAAAAGCTCTATGATGCACTTATCTTCCTATTTCTTTATACCTTATTACCATAAAAATGTTTCTTAGTTAATGGTCTGTGTAACAGTGAAAATACAGTATCTGGATGCTTACAGAAATTGATAACTAACATCCAAACTTTTGGCAAAGTTTCTAGCAACGCTTATAGCACTGGATAGATGGCCTGAATCAAACTATTTTTCAGTCAACTGATTAGTCAACTTTCAAAAATTGCATTGCAAGTCACAGCTAATTCTAGTAACGGAGTATTGTAGGGAGCTATTTTTTCTATGAAAAGAAGGACGAATTCACATCCTTGGAAGAAAACCCCACTAAATTTAATGGGACTTACTATCATGTAAAATTGTCTAGATACTGCATTCTAGAGATCCTCATGCATAACAGGTTGAGTACTAGCTAACACAAAAATCAGCTCTGTCATCATAAACCAGAGGTTTGAAAGGGCACATCATTGTATTGCACCTTGTGGGGAATATATCGGATCTGAGAAGGGAACATTAGGATACTTGACAGGGATATTTCTAATACAGAACTGCAATAATCGCACTGGTCCATTGCTGCTTCTTGTCTGCCCCTATGATCCTCCAATCCCATCATTTCAGCCGATTTTACAGAGCTGTTTTACCTTGATGTTTCACTGAGAAATTGCTACATGTAGGGCAACATATGCTAGAGATTCTTCCCCTGAACAAACATGGCACAAGGTATTATTTACTTTTTTACATTTTTTCCCTCATGAATTCTATTGGATTGTGTCCAGCCTTATCCATCAGCCAACCGAATTCCCCTCTCCTTCCCATATGCCTCCCCAATCTGCTCTGCAGGGCTGAGGAGCTCTTTGAGTAAATCTGGGAGTGCAGAGGAGTAGAGCAAAAAGTCACTGAAGGCAGGTGATTGTCTTCTTGTGTAATGTTGGATGAATAATAAGATGGTTACATAAGGGACTTGACTGCTTTAAAAACAAATAGGGAGGTGCTTGCAGATAGGGAAGTAGAGAACTCAAATATACAATCAATCAAATCTTGTATGAGGGATAACTTCAGTGCTTCCTATATTCTGAAATTCCTGATCTGCAGGCTCAGCTCAGAAAAGTATTACATCATTGATCTTGGTAGCCTGAAATTTTCAAAAAGTTTCATGGTAGAGCTACTCAAAGAGAGACATGCTTTTAGAGGGTTCCAAATGGAAAGCTAGAATACAAGCCCAGGTTTAAAACTAGCTTACAGGAATTGCCTCACAGGAGTTGAGACTGTTGAAAAAAATCTGTTTGTTTTGTACTACAAAAGACTTTCAGAAAAAAATGCCCAAATGCACATGCAAAATATAGCACTATCAAAATCTTCACAGTTTCACTGACCTGAGCATTTGCTTTTTATGGTTCTCTACTTCTTGGAGTAATACTTGTTTTTCTGATTCTTTATCTTGCTCCTTAGCCATCTGTTCAAGCTCCTAAGCAGAACCATAAACACACATTATTTATTAATACTTCTACATCAAAAAAGAAATATGCATAGTAAATGCACAAATACAAAATGCCATCCTTGGTTGCCAGTAAAATTAGATGGTTCAGGGCTATCAAAATTCTTCAGTGCTACTATTAATTTCATTTGCCCACTTTCAAGTGAAGGATAGACAAGCAGGAACTATGAGAACATCTCTCTCAGCAGCAGCGTGCAACTTTTTGAATATCCTGCTACACTAGACTTTTTATTGTATACCCAGTCCCACTTTTACACCAATGATTAAGAGTCATGGTATGTTACAATCTCTCTTCTTATCTTACCCAGAAAACATAAATCAGTACAAATCTCTGAGTTTTAAATTATCTATGGCGCATAAACAGAACATTTGGTGCTCTTTCTTTAGTGGAGTTTGAAAGTAAAAAATCTTGCTTACTTAGTAAAAAGAGTAGAACTAAAGGCCAGATGTTATGCAGGACATAACAGGACAGGACAACTCCATAGCAGTATGTGAACTGACATGACAATTCTGATGCAGAACCAGCTAATATAAAGAAAGTAGAAATACTTCCCAAATGGAAAACAATTACTAGCAAAACCAGATTCCCCACAATGCTCCTTTAATTAAAGTATATTAGCAAAGGGTCATAGTGTAACTCTATCACTGAAATTGTTTTGTCCATTTAATTGTTGTGGTTTTTCCCATCCCTACCCCCCAATAGGGCCATTTTTATTACTGTATTTTAATTGATTAAATAATTGCCCACTATTGTTGGACTTTACAACATGGCCACCACACATGAAAAAAAGGATCCAACTTGTTTGTTACATTTCCAGCATGTTTTACAAAAAGAATTATTCATTTCAGCAACCAAGAGTAATGTTCTAATAGTAGAATATCTTCATCAATTCTCTCTAAGCATGTTTGAAGTAGATTTATTTCTTCTATTGAAATTCCCACTGTTCCATCTCCACAACTGTGTTCAAGTTCTGCATCCATTTCACCATATAAGTCTTTAACATGTTGAGACTGTAAATCATACTTTTAGATTTATAGTAATTTAGTAATTTATAGATTGTATCTAACAGATATTCAGTATTACACATTAATAAGATTTTCAAATTCAGACAACTGAAATAGCAGTAAAATAGATAAATTCATGACATTTTCAACTTCCTTATGATGAGCTTTGCTGAAACCAAGTTAAATACCTTGCAGTCCTTGATCATTGCTGACAGATATACATTCAAACATGTTAAGCTCCTTTTAAAAAAAAAATTACACTAGCTTAATATTCAAACAACAAGAAATTGCATGCAGGTGAGTGCAAACACGTAAAAGATGGCTCAATAACCCCCTGCAAGCTAGTAAAAACATCTCTGGGTTTATTTTCAAAACATCACTAATGTTTTGTCAATATTCCTCACCTGTATTCTAAGACGTAAATGCTGGAACTTTTCTTTTACTTTGGCATTCAATTCTGTAAGCACGCTTACAGGTCCTATACAATCCCGGATATCCTGAAAGAAAGAAAATTAATGCATGTAGCCAGTATGGTGTAGGGTTAAGATGTCAGTCTAAGACTGGGGAGACCCAGTTCTAGTCCATCCTCAGCCATGGAGGTCTACTGGGTGACTTTGAGGTAGTCACCTTCTCAGCCCAGCCTATTACACAGAGCTGTCTGTTGTGGGAAAACAGTAAGAGGAAGGAGTGTAATGTACACCACTGTGAGTTCCTGGAGAAAAGGTGAAAGACATAAATCTAACAAACAACAAACAATTTTGCACCAATATTCTCTTGGAACATATATTCTTATCTGGATCCTCAAAATGCAGCAATTTCAGAAAGGTTGGGTGATATGCCAGTGGGGCATTTTAAATCAAGTATTATTCTTGATTTAAAAAAAACACATTTGAATGATGGCTGCCAAGGTGAGACTACCATCACACTCCAGAGTATGGAAAACTGAAACAGCTGAAAAATGACACCGTCAGAGAAGCAGATGCCTAAATCGGTGACAGCCGAAACGGCCAAGTGACTTTTAGCATTTATTACAACACAGACTTTCACTGAGTTGTTCAGCAGCTGAACGGGTCAAATCGTTTTTGACCCATTCGGCTACTGCAAGGCTCCTTGAGGCCGGCTGACGGATGCAGTGAACAAACCTGTGCCGAAGGGGCGACCATTGATAAGAGGGACCGGCGGGTACGGCCTATAAATAAAGTGCCCAGCGACCACACCCGTGATTGACTGAGCAGCGGCGACAGGAACCGTACCTGCACGGCGGCTTTAATCTCCAGGTCGAATTTGACAATCTCCTGGTTGCAGACCCGGACCGGCACGTCACCGGCAGCCGCCATCTTGGGGCTAACTACGGCGAGCGAGAGGGAAGCCCAGCGAATTTGGAATGCGAGCGGGCTTCGAGGCCGAACGTCCACAAACAGAAGCCATTGGTTGGCGCAGAAATGACGTGTCCCTTCTCCCGAAGCGGCTCTCCCCCGGTCTTCTAACTGCGGAGGGCGAGCGAAGCACCGTTGGAAGAAAGGAGGTATTTATTGTGCCTCGCATTCTGCTGCGTGTTCCCGGCAGCCGCGCTTATCTGCGTCTTTCCATTCGGGAGAACAGTCTCCACTATGCTTCAGATTGCGGTGACGGAATTCTTTGGAAACAACTGTAATTTAGCGGATTTTCCCTTGCTGTAGTACCTTTCATGTGACTATGACATGTAATGTTATTTATTGGGATTTATATTTTAGCATTACTGTTTTTCTTTTCAGAAGGGGGCAGAACTCGATACCTGAGTTTATGCTTTCTTTTGCAGAAAGTTAGGCTAATCCCCTAGTATTTCCAGATGAAATCATCCTAGATAGGAGCTGAGAAGTCGATTGCAGGAATGCTGTAGACATTGGATTGAAGGAGCCAATAATTAAATAGTTTTAAACTATTTAATGAGCTCTCATATTTTTAAAGATATTATCCTCTTTTACAGAAAGCCTAAATAATTAGCATTACTTGATAACTTCTGAAGTTTTAAAATATTTTACTCAAATTCAGAATTGATCTAAAATAGCCCATATGATATAGGTTTAGCCTGTTTACCATTTTAATTACCAATTATATCCTACAGAATTAAGTCCTTTAAGTGAATGCTGGGTTGTCGTTGTTGTTGTTTTTGCCTATTGATGCATATAGATATCCATTATGCTTTTCCTTTTCGTGATAAGCAGTTATGCAGAACACCATAAAAGAGTACTGTAAAAAAAAAAAATAAGCCAAAGAAATTGAAGACATGAGATAAGAAAAAGGAAACATAGCTAAAACTAGTTCATGCCAGTATTGTTTGGTATACCTCTTTTAATTCTTGCAAACCATCTTTGCTTCCACCATGTTCATACAACACTTCATATATTGCCTATTGTACTTTAAACTTTTCACGTGTTTTTGAGGATCTAACCAATTCCACCCAATCACAACTTTCTAGATTTTTTTATAGTCTTTCCATTCCTCTGCACCCATTCTTTCTTCATATATTTGTTTTGCAATTGAGTCCTCATTCACTCCTTCAAATTACCAAACTACTCAATGCATTTATTCCATAACCATTGTTAACTTTTATATTCAGTCCATCTTCTTGACTTTATCTCCTATTTTACCATGCACACTTCTTCCCATTCTCACTGCACACCCAATTTTCACTTCTGCATAAGAAAGTGAGTACCATAGAAGCTCTAAAATACTCAGAATTTCCCTCACTTCTATTTTATCCAAAATCATTTGATCACTTTACTCTTTATTTCCATTCAGTCTACTGAAGGCTCTTTATTTAGCCCTCTTCACCCACTTACAAAACACTTTTTTGTCTATCCAAATATCTCTGCATGACTTTAATCCTAAGAGCGCAAGCATGCTTGGAGTAAAACTGGGCTTGTGGCACTTGTCAAATATTGACCAAAATATATCAAAACTGTCTGGTACTTTTCATCCTTGCTCTCATTCTTTCAACTTTTTCTCTCTATACATATTACACCTCTTTTTCTCATTTTTAGTAGCATTCTCTTAGATTCATTTTTCCTTAACCACAGTCTAATTCACTTCATAATTCCACCTTGCATCCTTTTTCATACTCATCAGTGCAACCCCACAGTCTTCTGTGACATTCAGTAACATATTTTCACTATTTCCCAAGTAGTTTCCACATCATCTTTCCTTATGTCCACTTTCCATTCATTCTAAAATGGGCAGTTGTCTTCTCTGCTATGTACCTCCATGTACCTTTCTCTTCTGCAGTCATTCCATGCTTTTCCTTTTATTCAATGTCCAATCTTACCAAGATTCACTCTGGGCATTACTAAGGAATGGTCTGTTCCATATTCAGAACCTCTCATCAATCCAGTATCCTTTGCTAACTCTCAATATTTCATCATTAAACAATCAGATCCGTCATGCCTTTAAATCTTCATTCCCTTGCCACATCTATTTGGAAGATATGGAAGTGAAATTATAAACAAGCTGGAGAGAGTTAACAGGTACACCTTTATTTCATAAAAAATGAACGATGATCATCAGGCACTTCCCCAAGGAAAAAGGCATATGGGTAGAAACAGGAGCAGAAAATACACACACACACACACACACACACACACAATTAATTTAACTAATTTTCCTGTAATTAATATTAGCCAAGCAGGGTTACATTATAAACATTTACACATTTGTTCTTCAAGAAGATTCCTTACACCTGCATACTTTATAAATATGCTTACCTTGAGAGCAGATAAGAAATGATTTTCCACAGTTTGGGACTGTGGTGGTTATGCTAGCTCATCAGGTCAGGCAGAGTTTACTTCAGAATATTTCTTCAAGGCTATTAGTTCCTGCTAATGTCTGCTTAATCTGCTTGCTTTATATTTTTATTTTTATTAACCAAGATCCCTCCATAATATATATGAATAGACCTTTACCTAAATCAAGCAGATAATCATTAAAGAGTCGTAATTCTTTCAGGGATCACCAGATAGCCTAAAAACTTACACTGTACTCTGCATCTTGTTCTACCAATCCATTCATGTCACCTGAGTAAATTTTTCCCTGAACTGCAGTCATTAGAATGTTGCCCAACTTTTCCTCAAAACTCAACTCTGGATTGGTAACATGTATCTATCACCGATCTATGGATTCCTACTTTCATACCCACCTATAACATCCTAGATGATGCCATTTTATGCTGACATATAATTTTAGTATTTTCATTTATAATTAAACCTAAACCTTCACTTCCCTGCATGGATTCATAAGCTTAATTCCACAAGATCAGACCACCTCCATTAAGTTACATTTTTCACCTTTCTCTTAGTTTCAGAGATACTCAACATATCTATTTTCATTTCATTCTTAAGTATTTACTCCTCTTACATACTAAATCAGAGTCTTCTATTTCCAGCCAATGGACCCATGGATATTGTCCTCTGTCACCCATCATGGCTTGGTTAATAGAAAGTTTCACATAGTGCTTTTCAGTAAAACAGAAAACATGTAGATTATGTCAATACTCATAATTCCTCAGTCATACTCATACCTGTAGCTTGGCCACACCAGGACAAGTTTAAATTATAGCTCCCTCTCCCACTTTAGCATTTATTTTCTGTCACTGTATCTACTTCTAGAGCTTCTGTTTCTCACAGGTATGTTTGAACTGGAGACCAGGACACAGTTACTGTATATTGAAGCACAAATTGGTTTACTGACAATGCTAGATGCAAAGGCAGGCCTAAAGAGGGTAGGGGTTACAGTCTCTCTCTAGTGATTTATGCAACTTAGAGTATATATGTGGCTGGATACCCTAGCATGGTAGTTGATTGCATATAACACATCATGTACCTAGTGAGGTCAGTTAAACCATTAGGATTTAACTATGAGGTAATGAGGCAGAACTACAAAGACAATAGAGATTGAAAGAATAAAGGGACAGCATTTTATGAACATAGTTTCTTCCTTAGCTTTCCCAGAGCTCTGCTTACTTCTGACTATCTTTTCCTCACTTATCAGCATTTCTTGGTCTTCTAAATGTTTTATGGCTGAACTGACAATTTAGTTTCCTTGGGAAGATATATT